ATCCAGTTTGGGTTTGCAGACAGATAGTGCATATATTTTAAATAATTCTAATTCTACATTCTTTTCTTGAAATCCTGGATTTCATGTGAATTTTAGCCTGGGGATTAGGGAAACTCCTCTCAGATGTAATGGGTGAGTGCAGCGTCTGTGTAACTAGGTCACGGTGTACTTAGGCATATTTAGTTATCTGTTCTTGTGTTCTTCCCTACTTTAWTGACACAATAAACAAGAGGGAACTAAGTTGGATTTCTTATCTCCCCTCAAAGGATGGCACGAGATTTCATAGTGGAGTTTTTTTGGCTGCATTTTTAAACAATGTTTGCAATGTAGGTTTTTTTTTTTTTTCATTTTGCATTTCATACACAGTGAGGTTCAGGAATTAAATGTTTCCCTCTTTTTTTCATCAGACCATCATAAACAGGAAAATGCTAAGGACTAAGACAATGATCCAGAAAGAGCAAGAAATTGCATTTCTTTCCTTTCCCCACAGAGTGTCCCCATTTCACTGTTCGTTGCTCAACAGGGGACCACCTCTGAGCAGGCARAAGTCCATTTTGCAGAGAAGCCTACAAAGGTTTATTGAACATGTATTTGTCCCTTTCTAAAATGTGTTACATTGCAGTTAAYGAGGCAAACTGAAAATTCCCTTTTACTTATCATAGAAGCTGTATGTATTTTGGCGACTTGAAGATCAAAAGAGGTTTTTTTAATGCATACATATACACATACACACTGGATTTCTTGCTAAAACTTTTGTTCTTTGATAGATGTAAATACAATAATTAAACTTCAGTTCCCAGATAATCAATATAATTTTTATATTTTAATTTAGGTACAAATTAAATTTTATATATTGGATAGAAAAATTTATAGTTCAAAACTATTAGAAAATTGTAGGTTTTAACTTTGTAAGTTGTGTTTTGTTGGCAAGAGTATCTGAGGGCATGGACGTTGCTTTTTTCTGAAATATTGAGCATATACATGCTTTAGATGTAGGCTGAAAAAATAAATACACACTGAAAAAACATCTATTAGTCTCACTAGGTTTCATAACAAAGAGCTTGCTTTGACCTTATAAATTTTTTTCCAGTATAGCTATGACACTRGAGTGCCCTTTGTACATCTGAGACATTTTTTGATCAGTTCACTAATAACTTGTCTTGCAAAGCTTAGAAAAATGTGTTTCATCAGCCAGTGCTTTGCAACGTGATTAGACAAAGGCATGATCATTCTCAGACTTGTATCATATGGAAGAAAACGAATGCAATGGGCTGCAGAAAAAAAGAACTTTCATTCTTTCACGGATCAATTAATGAACCAATATATTTTTCACTTTTTTTTCTACAAACAGGTTTGTATTCATTTTAGATTGAAGTTGAAACATGAATAAACAATTAATTCAATTTTGTTTTGTACTTTATATTATGTGGCTGAGTGGTTAGTGCAGAAGTTTAGACAGTCTTAATTTTTGCTGATTAAAAGCAGAAACGAAACAGACGTGGGCTGGTGAGGCCTGGTTTCTATCACCAGAACAGATGTAGCATTCACCAGCAGGCAGAGCAGTTTGCACTGAAATGGCTTCAATGACTGAGCTCAAACTGTTTCAGTCACAGTCACAACCCCTCAGATCYGCAGAGATGCTCTGCATCTGACAGACCCAGAAGGGACCGCTTAACACATTTTCCCAGAGTAGTATCAGCTGCAAAACTAGTCAGACTAAAAAGGCAAAAAAAGCACATCTCGGTGTAACTTATAAACATGCACATGTTCAGTTTTACTACCAACAAAGAGAGGTGTGGAGGAGGAGAACAAATGAGTCTGGAGCAGAGGTGTAACTCCAGCAGAACGACGAATGCAGATTTTTAGTGTTGTCTCAGGCCTGACAGAAACCTGCTCCAGCCTTGAAGAACAGTCCTGTTTCTCTCAGTGGTGCTGTGAAACATGTACAAGGCTGTAGAATTAGCATTTAAATTTGTGTACAAATGCTGTACCTTGGCACTGCCCTTCTGCAGGAGCCTGCCAGACTCCACATCCATTGTACYGGGCTCAATTTCTCTTTTGCTGTGCAGGAAATCTTCTGCAATTACCTGGTAAATTGGAGTAATGCTYGGTGTGTTTTATTTTAGAACATATATGGCTTACAAGAGACAAAAACATCTGTATTTTCCCCTGGTACTGGAAGTGGCACTTATACAGTTTAGCCAGTTTCTGGCTTTTTGTTCTTCWGATGTCATGYTTTRTTTTTTCTTGACTAATTTTATTCCTCTGAGATAGTATCTTGCACTCCATAAAATCAAACAGAACAAATCTTTYACTTTTTCCTTTTCTGAATTCCTTAAAAATCAGTAAATTTCCCTAGGGTGTTTATATTTTTTCCTCTAGCACATTTGCCTACATTCAATACATTGTCAAAATGTGCTTCTATGCTCTGCTACTCTCTGCTCCTGAGATATGCAGTAGATAMATGTTAAAAATAATATAAAAATCTATTTTGGATCCATGTTTCATTGATATATCTCTACTGAAACTGTTAGGCAGTGTTGAATGTTCAGATGCTATGACAATAATTGGTAAAAAAACTTCCTTTGCCTACTGGTATTTTGCACAGACAGACTCTTTTATTAGCCTTATTTTTAACCTAAATTCATAAGTAAAAGAACCCAGAAGTTATCAAACCAGCTCCTCTGTACTAAATAACGATTTTATTGTCCCATGGTTGAAGTTACTGTTATCTCAGCAAAGTCACCCTTTTCACAGCCAAGATGAGRTATACTGAACAACAGTATTTGTTCACAGCTGAGTACTCTGGTAGGGAGGAAGAGATTTCTGTGTGCCTGGTTATTGTTAAAAAAAAAGAAAATTATTTCAGAATGACAGAATCATTACAGTTCAAAAGGACTTTGAATGGCTTGACCTTGAGTCCAGCCTCTTGCACAGAACAGGTTTAATGCTGAACTTGGACCAGGCTRTTCTGGGTTTTGCCCAGTTGGAGGCTCATTTCTAATTATGGGTMTAATTTTTCTGTCATACTCTTCACTGAAGAGCTTTGTCTCTCTGTTCTTGGCAGCTTCCACTTAGGTGTTAGAAGGCTGTGAACTAGCTACCCCTAAGCCTTCTTAATTAATGCCAGCTTTTGAGAGGAAAAAATGTTGAAGTAACCAATGAGCAGTGAGGCTTATCAGGCAGTGACTAGTGTGTTATAATGAGAACTTCCATCGATTTTTGGAGAATATTTGAGATGTTGGTGTAGCAGGCACCTGAGCCAGTGAACTAGTTCCTTTCAGACACCAAATCAGCTGTTTCCAGTGAGAGTTTAGMAGTGTAAAGTCAGTCCAACAGGATTCTCATAGACTGCTCACAAAAGACCTGAGYTAGTTAAAAGCTGAATTCGGATGAACAGCAAAACAGAAATAATTTTTTGCAACTAGAGCACTGGGTTAAATCTGAATTCCCAGCTCACATTTCCGATGCAGACAATCTCCCTGTAGGAACCTTTATAAACTCAGTGACATCAATCTGCGCATCCATAATTACAGTCTACATGCCATTACAAAGCACATGCAGCCCTGGGAGAATCAGCTGGGCCTGCAGCAAGCTCTGTCACAGAAAATGCAAATCTCTTCCCAGATAAGGCACATCTTCCTCCAAATATAGACAAGCTCACACCCACCTTGCTAATAACAGGTTCTGCTCCTCTTCAGGAAGATTACACAAAATCAAGCAGCACATCCCATGAGAATAGCGGCAGTGTGTTGTACTTCGAGGTATGCGCATCTGGGATCGCGGCAAAGTAAGAGACTGTGGGCAAATAAAAATGATGTCTAGGAAAGGACAGAAATCGATATAAATTGAATTACTTTCCCCACTTTACTTTCACATTTTGCATGTCTAACTAAATAATGGTCACACCAATATCTTAAACTTTACATGAACATCATTTTTTCCCCTCAGAAAAAGTGCTCCAAAATCTGGAAAAGTACCAACTACTCATCTAACAAAAAGGTACATAAAGAAATAGCACTGCCAGGTATTGTGTAGTTAGGCATGTGAGCAAACGTCATACTATACAGCGGGGCATTTTTAAAATCCCACTTTAGGGAGAACAAATCTTYATTCAAATGGTACTTTTAATACAGTTGATTAACAGTTTTGATCTAGATCAAGAAGTCCACATGTTATACCTCTAAAACACAGCCACTTCAGAAGACGGGAAACTGAGGCAGAATGTGTTTCCACAAAATTACAGCCACATCGGCAGCGATTTATCTCTTCCAGTGTTTTTCATGGGTTCCGCAGGGTTTACGGATGCTGTGAGGGCACTAGCTGGGCCCACCGGTTTGTGTGGTGACCCCAGGCCGGAGTCCCCACCGGCGGGTGACACCTGTGTGTGGGGAGCCCCTCACGGCGGAAGGTCCCGCCCTACTCAGGGGCACCACCGGCCCCGGCTCGCCCCGGGGCTGTCCCGCGGCCGGACCGAGCCCCGCCGGTGGCCGAGCGGAGGGTGGTGGCGCCGGCGGAGCCGCCCCAGCGCAGCGCCTTTGTTCCGAGCGGCGGCGCGGCCGGGGCGGACGGTCCCTTGGCGCTCATGGCGGGAGC